AGGGCCTCTTTGATTCGTAGGAATTTCAAAACATAGGAATAGAAAAAAAAAACAGAATTGAGGTGATGCCCATTTGAGTCCTATAGAATACCAGAGTGTTTGATGTCACATGAAAAGCAAAGGAATCGTAAAAAAGAGGTCGGAGTGGATGTTAGGTTTCTTATGAAATATAGTACAAATGATTCATTAGGGGGAAAAAGCATATATGGCCCATCCTACGAATCAAACAACCGACAGAGGAAAAAAATCTGAAGGATTATGATCCTCAAAAAATCCTATGAATATTTTTTGAATCAAAGGAGCTCTGGCATTTCCTCAAACAATATTAATTGTACAAGATGGGATACTGATCACAAAGAGGATTATGACCTAAACAGGAGTCCTCCCAAAGCCAGATACTATTGCCATCACCCAGGATGTATAGAAGTACCCCTTGGCGTTTATGAGTGCCCTCACTAAACTGGATCCTTATTACGTACTTGCACTCTTATATTATGCATGACGCGTCATGGGAAAACAGTTAAACAGATGACGCTCTTCAATCCAAGTTCATAGTTAAACAATCCACAATATGCTGCAAAGATAAAAATGGCCGGTATGGTATGATCTTGATTCTGGGTCGTGTACGACCCAACAATCTTTTCATTTAAAATATGTCAGTGGTGCACGTACGTACGATCGATCCCTTCAATCCGCGATCTCAGGAATTCCAACCGCTCAACCACTGTCTTTGGCAATGGTATCTTGATCTCCATATCTAGGTCAGCAAATAATTAACCGGAAAATAGCACCTCAAGTTGTTTTCTTTTCTCAGGCCAAGAGACATATTGTTTTCATTTCTCAGGTACGGAGAGAGATATCATTTTGATTCTGTGTCTTAAAATTTTGCTCGATCTGAAATCGTGAGATAATGCAATATATTGCTACGTACCAACCTCAAGATCTCAGAGCTAATCTCTTTATGATATCGGCAAATCAATGTTTATTTATTCGAATCCATCCGTACGACATCGATTGCTTGTAAAAGGCCTATACTAAATCCTCATCGAGCTAATCCATTCGTGCGTTAGCGAAACACAATCCCCAGATGTCTGCAGGTGTGGTCGTTCATTCAGAATTACAATCCATGGTTCTGTGTGGCTTCTATGCATGGTTGCTAGCTGGTCTTAGAACACCAGCTAATTAACTTTGCAGCTTACGAACTACTCCCTCCGTCCCATAATATAAAACATTATTGATAATAACATTATATATTATGGGACAGAGGGAGTATGAGCTAAACTATCGATCACTGCGTGCGCGGCGCACACCTCTTGTTTTGTCACGATCTAGTACCCCACATTCCGGCCGGGATTGACTGCGGCTGGGGGTTTTAACCTTCTTTTTCAAAAACTAGATAAATAAATGTCGGCCATGAGTCACTTGTCTCTTGGGGGCTCTTTTTTCAATGAAGCCTACGGTGACTTCGTAAAATCTTAAAATGACATGCCGGCCCAGTCTCTTGAAGGTGTTCAATCGGGATAGAATGTGCGTGTGTGCGTTTATACAGGTGAGTGTATGCGTATTTATATGAGCTCTTGCATCTATATTGTGTTAAAAAAGAAATTCTCTAGGGAGTTCTCGGTTGGCTTACAAATGGTTATCTTTATCGTTTCGAGATCTTTATTTCTTTGTATTTGCATGACTCCCGATGCTATAAATGAATGGTTCTCAACGGTGACTTAGAAATATAATCTCTCGCCTGTTTGATAAATTACATGACCGTTTTTCTTTGTTTCTCGAATTACTGGCGCCGTGTCTTGCACAACCTATTCCGTTTGTTCTCATACGGCAGTCGTAGATAAACAAAAACTCCAATGCATGAGGTGCATGGTTAGTGACATCTTGTTACTTTACTCTTGCCATCTAGTTTAATTACTTATCAGCAAGCATTGTTAACTAAAAGATTTGTTGGCTCGAGGTCTACGCACGCAACGTATCAACATATATCTCTGTAAGCCCCTGTTGCTGATTAGGTTGCTAGTTTGGATTATACTAATTAAGTTGGTGCATGATGAGTACTGGCAGTTGTACTTGATTGTTTTTTCTTAATCCGGTCGTTTCTCTCTACTTTAAAGAGATATGCCGTGATACGGTGACGATTATGTATGTGCGGGTCTCCTTCGTTCATGATACTTTCAGTCTCTATCTCACTGCTAGAAACTGGACTTTGTTGGTTTTTGTTGGGAGGGCTTCTCCCTCACAAGAGCCTGCTAGCCAAAAACATACTATTGTTTTCTTGCCCGTTGTTATGTCACATGTTTGGACGGCATAATGTCTTTGCATGCAATCCTGAACTATACTCATGTTAAGAAACAAGTGGGCAATGTTTTGAAACTGCATTTCGAGAAGGCATATGACAAGGTATATTGGAATTTTCTCATTGATTGTCAAAGTATGAGGGGTTTTGACAATAGATGGATTAAGTGGGTGCAGCAAGTTTTGTTTAATGGGATTATTAGTGTTAAATTGAATGGTGAGATGGGTTCGTACTATCAAAGTGCCAAAGGGGTGCGCCAATGTGACCCATTGTCACCTTTTTTTGTTTAGCTTGGCGGCGGATTGCCCTAATAAAATGGTTCTTGAAGCACAAGATAATGGCCTTATCACAATTGGCGTCTGATCTTGTTCCTCATGGCGTAGTGATACTTTAGCATGCGGATGATACAATCTTATGTATGTCGTGCGATTTGGAAAAAGCCTTGAATGTTAAGTTGTTACTGTATTTCTTTGAGATGACATTAGGGCTCAAAATAAACTTCCTGAAAAGTGAGGTACTGTACATTGGTGAAGATAAGAATGTGACAAAAACTTATTCGGAGTTGTTTTATTGTTATGTTGGTCAGTTCCCTATGCAATATCTTGATGTCCCTAGAGCTCTATTGGTCTGAAGATTCCAGACTGGGATTTTATTGATGTTAGATTTATATAAAAAAGGTAATTTGGAGCTTGGAAAGGTAGTGCAATGTCTATAGGGGCTAGAGGTATTTTACTTAATTCTGTTCTTACTAGCCCGCCATCCTTTCATATAGCTATGTTCCTTATGAATAAAATTTGACTGAGAAATGGGATATATAAACATATAAGAGTTTCCTTTTGTGGATTAAGAAATATCACATGGTGAGGTGGTCGAGGGTGTGTAGAAGACTGGGAGTTAAAGATATTAGAAAATAGAAAAATAGCCTCTTGGTTAAATGGTAGTGGAAACTTGAAAAAAAAGATGCTCTGCGACAAAAAATAAGAAAGCTTGATATTCATAACAAAACTGCGACGAATGTCAAGCCTAGGGTTACTGATTCTCCTTGTTGGAAATCCATTATGAAGGTAAAAGATCTTTACATGGTGGGGCGAAAATTAAATTTGAAATGTGGTCACATTGCAAGATTATAGAACGATGTCTATTTTGATAAGAAAAATATGAGGAAGTTATATCATGTTCTTTTATATATGCGCCAGAGTGTGTTTCTTGGCCGAAGAGCCTACTTAAGAGCGACATACGGACGGACGGGGCATTGAACGGGCGTGGTAGAGATCCGTCCCGTCCCGTCTAGTAACACGTCACCAACATTGAATAGTCGCGAACACTGAGGACGCGGTGCGGGCGGCGCCCTCGACTGACGCGCCCTTTCAGTGGCAGAGCTAGTGAGAGCTAGGTTGCGTCTGCTCTGGGTCGGCTTCAATGTGGAGCGGCGCATTTTACAACGGCATGAATGCGGGCAGCTAGCACCGGGCGGGAACGCACGCGGGCAAGGGAGGAGGTGGTTTGGGTGGGCCATAGTGGACAAAAGCGGGCATTGGTGCTGTTCAGACGCCCGCGAAACCCCTCACACTTGTCTCCGGTTTGCAGAAGAAAACACGTTCGGACCGTCTTGCGGATCGATACATACCCGTGTTGGATGGCTTCCACAATCTAATGGTCCGAACGAATGTGGACGATTTGAGAGTCGTGGTTGGAGATGCCCTTACAACCCTGTCAGTGAGTCAGTCAGCTTGTATGACTGTACATAGCCCCCGCGGGGTGTACGTAGGCCATTGATATATATACATGGACCCAGCTGAGCCGGTCTTAAAAGGGGGCGTGCCATCCACGTGAACGTGTCTGCCCGGTTCATGTGTCCATGTCACTGTAAGGCTGCAGTACACACGTCTGGGCTATACGTGTCCATAGTTCTCCGCATAGTATGGGTAATGTTGGCCGCATTATTTTATTTGGTCTAACTGATTCCAGCTGCAAATCAAATGTGCGTGGCCGGCCCGTCATGCATCAGGTACGTACGTACGCCCCCCACCACCTTTTGCCACTCGAATCATGCATGCATGCATGTAGTAATCCTCCACTAGGATTCTGATTAGTGCTGATTTTGTTCATGGATCAATTGACGTGAGCTGACATCCATTTTTTGCATTGCCTTGAGCTGAACTAAAGCTCAGCTCACCTCACCTCACCTCACGTGAACAATTTCTACATATCTCAGGTCTGAGCGCGCGTCACGATCGATGTTTTGTCAACTTGGACGCTGGATGGCCGCTGTCAGTTTGTCTGAACATTTCAGCGTGCGTGCCTACGTGTCTGAACTTTTTGGATAATGGT